GACAACAAACACGCCCGGCGTTGCGTGTGCGTCGCAAGCCAAACTTTAGGAAGCCAGTAGACAGTAGGTCCTCGTTCTAACATGAATAATTCCTGCCGAATATCACTAGAAAAATTGTCCAGATGTTCTGCTTAATTTAAAATGATAAACTGGGGTTAAAAAAAAACAGTTTTCTGAGCTGAGAGTTGGCTAGGGCGCGAAGGTATCGAAGGAGCCGGCGGCTTGCCCACATCGGCAGCGCAGCGTGGATCCGGCAGCGTTTGCGACAAATCGAGGCCGCAACACGTGTGGCTATGTAGTAACATTGTTGTACTAATACATGTAGTAATCTCTGCTGCTTAAACAAGCATCTAAACGAGGACGAAAGATCCAACGTAACGAGGACCAAACACCCATGACCACGAGGACGAAAGATCCATAATATAATAGGACAAGAAAAACGGTTCATCATTTTTAGAAACGAAAAGAAATTGGCGTCACATGATTGTCACTGAGAAAAAGTGACGGATAAAGGTTCACTAGCGTTATAGCCGGCTGCTAAGTAAACAAACATGGCGTCTGGCCGGGTCGACTCCGCCGATTCATAGTGATTTCTTGTTCCCAACGTCATATAACAAAGTCATATACGACTTATTTCATGCCAGAATGTAGCAACTTGCGGTACCTGCATCAAAGACCTCTTCATTTCGGTAGATTTCACTTCTGTACGGCGATCGCGTTAAACAAACATTTCGTAGTCGGCAATGTAAACAAACATGGCGACTGGTCGGCTCGCCTCCGCGATCGCCGATCGCCAATTCATAACGATTTCTTGTTCCCGCGGCGATATACACGTTACTTCATGTCAAAATACAGCAATTCGATATGTTATCTCATCATATCAGGGTGTATTCCGGTAGATTTTAGCCTCCTATATGTGTTTTCCGGTGTTTTCCGGTGTTTAACTGTGTTTTCCGGTGTATTCCGGTAAATAGGCAGACCCGGCTGATATCGTAAACTACTGAAAAAGTACATGTATAAGTAAAAATACTGTACAGTAAGAAATACATATATGTAGCAGCCATCGAGGACCCAGTTCCAGAATTCTCCAGAATTGGGTTAATCCCCAAGGGGTCCTCAATGCCTGCTACATATTTCTTACTTCATTTTTACCCATAGTTTACAGTATTAGCCCATTTAGATGATTGTAAGGTTGTTGAGATGTAAGAATTAGTCCAGAATTACATGTAAGGTTGCTGGGATGTGGGAATTGCAGAATTAAACTAGAGGTTTTTATGTACATTGTACACATTACTGTTCCCAGGAGCTGCCTGACGTGGCAGACCATATGCCCAGCAGTCCGGGTTGCCATAGTAACCACTCCCACAGCAGCAGCGGGAGTGACCTCAGTGAACTTGACCTCTCTGCCGGCAAGAAGGAGGCGTTTGTCATTGAGGTACATGTAATTATGAATAATCACGTCATCACTTTATCATGATAAGAATATTAATTTACCTCTTGTATTTACTGTACAGTTACAAAATGGACCCCCTTGAGTGACCGAAGTTGGATTTTTGTGACCCTTGTTTTGTTAGATGGGAAAATGATGGACAATGTGAAAGTATGATTAACAAAACGCAAAAACCATTAAGAACCATAATAAAATTAGTCAGGGGTCTGAGGAAAAATGGTGCTTTTCCCAATAATTGGGCCTGTCATATGATCCACATGTCTTAGACCACCTTGTTCCTTCTTGTTCCAGATTGATGATGCTGAGGATGAGGATATCGTGTCCTTAATGTTGGACTCACCTGAACCTGAAGGTAGAACGTCACTTAACACAATGTTACATATGTGCATGTAGGGATCAAGTACATTCCATGACTACATGTAGATTTAGTTTCTTCCAATGCTGAAGGAAAGAAAGTTTGTATTGAAAGAACATTTTGATTCTAAGATGTTTCTCTTTCCTCTGTTTCAGGTTTCCAGTCCTGTAACACCGAGCTGCCCCCTGGGATCCAAATTCTCACAAGTAATGTACAGGTACATGCTCGGTTATGTCATTGGGATTTTTTCTTCATGTATAAAAGGTTTGTGTGTCTGCGTGTGTGTGTTTGTGTGTTTGCGTTTGTGTGTATCTGCATGAGGGTGTGCTTGTGTGTGTGTGTGTGTGTGTGTGTGTCTGAGTGTGTTTGTGTGTGTGTGTCTGCGTGTGTGTGTTTGTGTGTGTGTGTCTGAGTGTGTTTGTGTATGCTTGTGTGTGTCTGCGTGTGTGTGTGTGTCTGTGTGTGTCTGTGTGTGTGTCTGTGTGTGTGTCTGTGTCTGTGTGTGTGTGTGTGTCTGCGTTTGTGTGTGTGTGTATGTCTGCATTTGTGTGTGTGTGTGTCTGCGTGTGTGTGCGTCTGCATTTGTGTGTGTGTGTCTGGGTGTGTGTGCTTGTGTTTTTGTGTGTGTGTCTGCGTGTGTTTGTATGTGTGTATGTGTCTGCATTGAAGTTCAAACATACATTATTATACGTGACTGTGTGTGTGCTTGTGCGTGTGTATGTGTATGTGTGTCTGCGTGATTTTGTGTGTCTGCGTGTGTGTGCTTGTGTGTGCGTATGTGTGTGTCTGCGCATGTTCATCTGTGTGTGTCTGCATGTGTGTGTGTTTGTGTGTCTGCGTGTAGGTGTGTCTGCGTGTGTGCTTGTGTGTGTGTGTCTGTGAGTGTGTGTGTGTATGCTTGTGTGTGTGCCTGCACATGTGTGTACATGTGTGTGCATAGCATGTTTCAACTTCAGCTGTACTTTTCTAACCTTTCAAGTATGCATTAAATTTTAAGACGTGATTTTAAACTTTTCCCCCAGACATTTACAACAGTGATGACATACAACGATTCCCAAGCCTTGGCCCACCACAGCAGACATCTAACTAACATCTTCGACAACATTCTTAAGGTGTGTACATTATCATGGACAGCTTTAAGCCAGTAAGCAACATTATTATGTGATAAAGGTAGTTTCATGACAGTCTTTTGGCAATGGCAACGGATTGGAGAATGTGAAAGACATTGACAGCCTGCCTCATCAGTTCCAAACACTGACATGTGGTGAAGAAAAGAGTGTTTACTTGTTTTTAGCTGCCATACAATCGTTTGTTACCTTAAGGCCACAGCAAATAATTTTTATTGATGACATCAGCGTGCGCATTAATTTTTGCCTGATTTTTGAAAAAAAAAAGCAAGAAATTTTGTTGCCTTCTGACATGCCGAAAATGGGTAAAGTTGTCTGTTGCCATGCCGGAAGGTGGATGGCAGATAACTATGAAGAGAGGAGACAAGAAAAGGCTCTGATTTAATGTTTTGTTTCTTACTTTGAGGCAGTGATATGTGATGCTGGCTGTGTATATGTGATGTTCCCACTGAGTAAAAACCATTTGTACAATGATTGAGTCAACATTTTAAAATGTAGGAACCTTTTTTTTTTTCGTCCCGCCTTGTTTTTTTTTGCCCGCTCGCATTAGATTTGGAGTCTGCTGAGGATGTCATCCATAAAATTAACTTGCTGTGGCCTTAATGTTTCCTCCCCTCAGACCCTGTATTTCAAGCTGCGTATGATGGTGCCCTGCTGTCTCTCGGACGTACGCTTCCATGTCGCCATTCCAGAGGACAACGAAATGCAGGTCAGACATTCAGCTCTTATAATGTTTACCTCGAATTTCGCAAAAGGAAAACATATTGTTTTTGCTCTGTTTCTTCATCTTCTTCCATTCCAAAGTTAAATCAATGACCTGGACTAGATGGCATTCACCTTGGTAACTGGTGCTGAAGCAGACACCTTGTGATGTTGGATCCCATTATGTAGCAAGTGACAGGACAGAGTTGGAGGAACTGATCACCATTATATTTATGAAATTGTGTTTAAGTAAGAATAAACAGAGCAGGAGTTTGCAAAGCTAGACCATGTTGAGGTTAACATTCTGCACTTGCTTTGAAAGATACCTTTATTATTTTCTTGGTCAGTAGAGTCTCCATCTTTAACACATTGTGAGTCTTGCTTGAGCTATGCCAATATGATTAACAGGATTCTTGGATTTAGAAAATAAATTCTGTAGAGCTAGAAGATCAACATTGTTTTTTTGACTGTATCTCATGAATCTGTAGAAATTACAAAGGAGTCTGGAAGATTTCAGTCAATACAGGATTTGTTTTTTAGGCCGGCAAATGTAATCTCTATTTTTGCAAAACTTCTTTAAAGGTCTACATGTATGTGTAGATTTGTAGTAATCTTTCCCCTCTCCCGTTGCCTAGGTTACAGTGACGGCTGCAGCTGTAGGTTTACAGGAGAGTCCACCATCAGCCAGTGAGACACAACCCCACGTCAGGAGGAGACAGAGTCAGTGTTTTCTTTGACCTTTTGTTTGAGAAAATAAGGCCACAGCAAGTAATTTTTATGGATGACATCAGCGCGCACAATAATTTTCACCTGATTTTGAAAAAATAAACCAGAAATTTTGTTGCCTTCTGACAGTGGTCACCATGAGGAAAATGGGAAAAGATGTCTGTTACCATACCGGAAGGTTAAGACAGTTAACTATGAAGAGAGGAGACAAGAAAAGGTTCTGATTTAATGTTTAAAATTTGTTTCTTACTTTGATGCAGTGATATGTGATGCTGGCTGTGTATATGTGATGTTCCCACTGAATCAAAACCATTATGTACAACGATTGAGTCAAATTTTAAAATGTAGGAACCTTGTTTTTTCGGCCCGCCTTTTTTTTCCCCGCTCGCATTAGATTTGGAATCTGTGGAGGATGTCATCCATAAAATTTACATGCTGTGACATCACAAATGACTCCATTTTTCCCTTATTATTTTACACAAATTTTATGGACGGTAATGGCACATAAAGACAATCGGTGACAACACATATAACACAACAAAACTGAGTCATAAAATCAGGAAAACAAGAGTCTGGGTCGTTGATGAACCTTAGACATCCAGGTTAACAAGATTTAAAAAAAATTTCTCCAGGAACTGGATATGATTTTGGAAACTGTCAGACATTTCAAGAATCGTTTCTACCAATTGAAATTTAAAAACAGATGAACTTTCATACTGAACCTTTTTCATACATGTACATTGTACCTTCATGTGAGTTCATGGCCTTCATTGTGTTGTTTTGTTTGTTTGTTTTCCATCTCCTCTGTCTTGTTTACCAGGAGACAGTAAACTCCAGGAAAGCAGTACTGAAAAACAAGACAATGACAGATTTCCAGGTTTTGTGTCCATCATATGTCATACATCATGCTGGCTTAATCCGCTCGCATTAAGCTAGCTGCACCCTGCAAGGAAGCTGCTCCAATCAGCAGATGTTTGTGCACCGGAAAATCAGCTAGAATCAACTATTGCTGCTTTTGTTTTGATGCAACGTCATAATTTGCTAAATAGACTCAATCAACATTTAATTATCTGGAAAGTATTGTTCTACACTTTACCAGACTATGATTTTTGCCATTTCATGTTCAGGTACATGTAGATCATAGTAAATCAACTAGTTACCCCCTTTTTGCTTTGAATTTCATTACCATTTGTGTTTTGTCATGCTTTTCATGACATAATTTCTTATTTTCATATTTTCTTATTTTCGTAATTTCATATTTCAAAAGCATCTGACTGTTCCTTTTAAAGACATTCCTAGTCTCCACCACCCTATTTTGTAAACTGAGACAGCCCAGATGACAAAATGTCTTGTTTACTTGTTGTGATATTAAGTTTGTTAAAAGACTTGTTGTTGTTGTTGTTGTTATTTAATGTCCTGCTAACTCCATTGAGGATGTTGGCAAAATGTACTGCACCTGTAATACATGGTCCATATTCCACCTTGGCAGACCGTTTCATTTAATGTTGTATTTGGATATCCAAGGATGACATCCCATCTATAATAATTTTTCAAATGATGTGCTGGAAAAGATATTGTCTGCAACAGGCAAGATTCTGATGCAAAGTTGAACAAACATCCATCTTGTTTACATATTTATCTGTGTTTGTTTTTTGTGTAGAGTCCAGTGAGAGTGACCGTGAAGACATGATGTTTGTGATGGACGGAGACCCAGAGTCCACCCCCCAGTCCAGCACTCCCACCAAACTCACCCCTACACAGCACATACCAGGTCAGTCTCACCAAACTCACCCCTACACAGCACATACCAGGTCAGTTCCACCAAACTTACCCCTATACACAGCACATACCAGGTCAGTCTCACCAAACTCACCCCTACACAGCACATACCAGGTCAGTTCCACCAAACTCACCCCTACACAGCACATACCAGGTCAGACCTCTAGCATCCCTTTCTCTCATTTTTTTTTTTGTCTTTTCTTTTTAATTGACAATGTATGATTTTCTCTACTTTCCTGTTATGATATCCTTGCCTTTCCTTTTTTTTATCAATTGCTTTTTCGTCCATACCTTGCTTTTTGCTTACTTGGCATCTTGCACAAATGTCAGCTCCCAATCTTTCTTTTCTTCATAGCTACCAATCTTTCTTTTCTACATTCTTTTCTTCTCGTAGATGTGTGTCCCCCTGTCTGTTCTCCATCCTCCCTTCTTGATTCCCCCCTTCTGTCTGTCCTGACCGTCTGTGGTGTTCCCGCAGGGCCGCGTACGTATAAGCAGGAGGGTCGCTCGCAGCTCACGCCCCACGGGATCCAGCTCAGCCCGCTGTCGTACGTGCCGGGCGGCCGCGTGGAGCGATACCTGGGACACGTCAACATGTTCTTCATCCGCGAGAGTACGTCGGTCCGAGAGGTGGGTTTCTTCATGTGTTGTTTTTGATTTGATTAATTTGATTTGGTTTATTGAAATTGCAACAGTGCAATACACGTGGAACAGAGGCAGCTGTTGCTGGTGTTGTGTCCCGCACATAGAAACGAATACTGGACAGACAATACTCCTTTTCACTTGAGTCTAGTGGGGAAAGTCATGTAAAATGCCTTCCCAAGGGCACAAGATCGGTGGCATGTCAGCACTCGAACCTGGGACCTCTTGATTCCGAGTCGTGCACGCTGCCGTTGCGCCACACAACCCCACAGGGCTTGTTTTTGCAGGGCTTGAAATACTTTTTCTGTACGTAACAGTATATGATAAGAAAAAAATAGGAGGAAAATGTACCAAATGTTTCTTCTATTCATGAGCATGCATGAATGGAGTTGTGCACAAGTTCCTGCTGGAGGTACAGGCCATCCTGCAGTCCCACGTCTCGATGCTAGGGGGCGTATGTGTGATGTTTAACACTCTCTGGAGATGTACTAAATGTCTCTTCATTCCCTGTATTCCAGCATGGTGGGATGAATGGAGTTGTGCACAAGTTCCTGCTGGAGGTTCAGGCCATCCTGCGAGCCCACGTCTCGGCGCTAGGGGGCAACGCTCTGCTGTCTCACACTGTCAGCCAGGTGGTTCTGCTGGACAACCCCAACAGGAACCAGGTGGGCACGAAAGTTTAAAAAACAAGGCAGGCAATAAAAAATATTGCCGTGGCGACGGTGTATAAATTTTTGGTTTTGTTTTATGCATATGTTTTCAAACCGACATGATTATTTGCTTTATAGAGCACAGGGTTACTGCCTGACCCAATGTTGTTGTCATTACTGACTACAAATTATTAGGTTCCCCTTTAGGTATTGCCCCAAAATCTTGGGTATCTAATTCTACTAGCCTAAGGCCTCAAAATAGTAGGTAGCATGCAAAATTACAACGTACCTGCATGCAACAGACAAATATAAAGTATAGAATACTACATGTAGTATTAATCAAATTAAGAACTGTTACCAAACCATTGACAACGTTTTGCGTAGTATGCAAGTATGACACAATGTGGTCAGCAGACAGGCTTCGAACTCTTGACCCTTTGAACCAGAAGCAACATGCACACAACTTTCCCACTTGAAACTGTTACTGACACATTTCTCCCCTATGTACATTTTTTGTACAGCTGCAGTGTCTACTGAATGTTAGTGGGGACGCCGCTAATGTGGCGTACAACAGTTAGACCACACCGTAAGCATGGCTAGTATGCCACAATCCTCCATGGGTGCTTGGGAATTTGGACTAAAAACTACAGGCATGCAATCAAACAGCCGTCCAAATTTGGCTTTTCATTTAGCATTTAACCTTGGGTATGTCAAGGGTCATACATGTGTACATGTGCATGTATGTGCTTTGTTTAACATGTGATCCAATCAGTGTTCTAGCCAATCATCACAATTTTGTTTGGCGTAAGAACATAATGTCGAGTGCTGATGGTGGAAGCCATCGCAATCCTAGGGGGGTGTAGATCTGTGGGCATGCTCCCTCGGGATAGTTTGAAAATACCCCGACCAGGCCCCGACTATTTCTTGCAGTTTGAGATTCAAATTTTGCTGGGAGACTAAGCTTACGTTGATGACATCTCTCAATGGGTGCCAATTTTTCCCGTCACAGACGTCAAATTGGGCAGAATATTTTCCCATAACTGGTTAGAGAGAGAGAGATAATGAGCAGCAAAATTAGCGACTAGAACACTGGATCCAATTGATTATTCACTCGCGAGAAGTCTTGCATTGCCAGCTGTTGCAGTAGTGTGAGGTATTGGTATGGTCATGGTCAAGGGAGATTTTGTTGCTTGGTGGTAGTGCTATCATGGAGGGTGTGGATTGTGAAACCATGCAAATGCCAATTTTAGTATATTAATTGCATTCATTGGTAACCTTATTGCTGCATAACATAGAAATCTTGCAAATTCATGGAAGCTGCAGGTTTTGTATGATCGCCTCAAGATGCATATTATTAAAAGAACCAACTTGGACCCTCTAGCCAGCTACATGTAACTCCTCTGGTGTGCTATTCAGTCTGTCTCTAATAATTTATCCAGCAACCCATCGGAGTCCGTTAGAATGATGTTAATAAACTTCATTCCAACACAAAGGGTACACAAGGATCAAATTTTCAACAACCACTGTTGCCTTCATCATAATGATTATAATAAATGACCAATCAGTTCTGAACGTAAACCCGTAAGAGTTATAATTATTTCCAAAATCATAATTTATCCAGTTGCTTGAATAACTGTTTTTTGCCGTAAGAGTTGCCATTACAGACAAGTGACCTTATTAACATGAGACTTTACGGGTATTTGATGTTAGGTATAATTAAAATTTTTTTAGCACTGTACTACCGTACTATAGTATAAGGATTATTATTATGATTACTACCAACACAGTTCCATAAACCACTGTAGTCTGGTAGAGGCTAGTGGGCCCGGCAGTGAGAGATTGTGTAACGCGATGCTGATCTGTTGTGTCCTGCAGGGCCAGTGCCTGCTGAACGTGAGCGGTGACGCGGCGTGTGTCGTGTACTATGGAGACCAGATCCTGCCCGTGTCCGTCCCCTTCTCGCTAGCTGCCATCGCGGACAGGTCACCCATCGCCAAGTTCAGCCCAAAGGAGGCCAAGAGGAAAGTCCCCCTCATGACAGACTTGTGACAGTGACCTTGTGGATATAGTGTACATGACAGATTGACTGTATAGATATAGAGGCACATCAGCAGAACATACTGCGCCTGTGTAAGGCATTGTAATGTACATGTGTATTACACGTATATGCATAGGACATGGGCAGAACGTTTCATTTAAGGTTTGTAATCAAGTATTGAAGGATGACACTTTTCAATTATGTGTGTCGAAAAATATAATATCGTCTGCAACAGGCATCTTTGAAGCAACGTCCAACAATAATCATGAAAATTCTGGGTTTTGTGCAGGTGCAGTACATGCTGCCACAGTGCTACCTGTAGATAGGCTTGTCATTTTAGGCCACACCAATTTGATTTGTTGGTTCCCAGAAAAACATGATGAAGACAAAGCCTGAGGACCAGGTTTATGCCTTAAAAAAAGGTCCGTGATCAGTTTTACGCTGACAACAATCATAATTATTTTATTATTCATGTTTTCCGGTATTTCTAAATCAAAATGTCAGAAAAGCAAGGCCTTAGAGGGCTGAGCCTCATATTTTGTGGAAGGTGATACAAGAAAGGTTGGAACATTTATAGAAATATTCACTGAGACAAAACAAGAATGATTTCCTTAAAATAGTATCCAAATTTGTCAGCATAGATTTTCTCAGCATAGGGCTACAGTCCCCAAAGAATCCATATTTAGTAGAATGTGCAAGGCTCTGCAAAGTCACTGTCATCATCATAGTCATCCCTCAGTAAGACATCTGGAGCTGCATACAAATGTATGCCTTTGTGTGTATTACGTAGTTCCCATTTAGAACTTTTAAATAAAAGCCTGTGTTATACAATGTATGTATACAAGCTGAATTAAAGTTCTAATTGGTAGTATACATGTACATACATGTACACGTACATGCGGCATCAGATGTCTTACTGAGGGACGACTGCGGTGTGCTAGAAGTTGGTTATCTTGTCATGAGGAATGAATCCACTCTACAACATGTAATATACAATCATGTACAATCATGTATCTTACTGGTATCATGACTCTTGTTCACTTAGCTTCAAACCTGTCACAAGTATCTCTAGTAGATAAGTGTTTTATTATAATATGATTTTCAAGATGAAAATGTTTGTAAAATATGTATACTTTGTATATGACTGAAAATTATGTCAAAGTCACAATGAAATACAGAAAAACACAGGCTTTTCTTGAAGTGTTGTACATACAATATATATTGCAGAGGATACAATTTAAAGAATCTGTTTAACATGTACATGTACAGTAACTGAATAAAACTAACAAGCGTTCCATTCCGTATCTTTGTTATATGTTGAACCACACACCAGCATTTACTTGAATTTAAACAATTTCAATAACTTGTTTTAAAACCTGAAGTCCTTGAACAACAACTTGAAGGTAGCATTGCAAACAGATAAAGAGCTTTCTTCAACATTTTCAGTAGCAAATACCAGTGTGCACTATTTTGCACTAAATCAAGGAACAAACGCCATTGAACATCTGTACTTTCCACTGTCGACCTATACACACATTGTCTTAACATCAAACCATTATTACCCTCCATGTAAATGGGGGGTATTGTTTTTACTCCGTTTCATGTTTGGTCTGATATCTGAAGATCGGTGAGAAGGAACTGTATGATATTTGGCAGATTGATGGATGGGGCCTTGGAGATTGTGTACGTTGACTTTGAGCACCTGGTGATTGACCTTGGTACTTCAGTTTAATTTTTTTATTCTATTGTTGGCACGTTATGGTCCGTGTGTGCGATGCTAAGGTAGCATGTAGTTGTGGTTACAATGGTTTAGTGATGTAAATTTGGGCCCCCTAGCTGTTTGCTTTGAACCGGAATTGCTATCTCAATGTCAGATTGTTTGCGTTGAATGATCTCAGAACCCGGTGGATGGTTGGCGATCATTTTTGGTATGTGGGTAGACGCTGATTGTCTTTGCGTTTTAGCGTGCATTAGCAGGTTGTCGTAGATTTGCATTGCTTATTTAAAAGGATTTTCACATTTTCACCCCTATTTCATAATAGGATGGTCTGTTTGACCCCAAATTGGTACAGAGTGTTTTTGTTTATACCTCCAGCTGGCAGGTCAGGCCAATCTATTTTTACTTAGAGCACTGCTAGGTCCCCTCAGCCAATAGGGATCCTGGATTTTTAGTGATTATATCCACATAGTAGCATACTTGTGAGTTAGTGCACCTCTCTCCCTTGGGGTAGAGGTGCACTAACTAACCAGCCACCCTCTTCTCAGCCAACCAGTGAGCTGGAATTGGTCCCTCTCTAGGGACAGAGGTGCTCTAACTAACCGAATAAATTACACTATGTTGGACCCGCCCATTGTTATTTCCATGGAAACAACAACTGGCCAATGGCAGTGTCCAGCTTTCTGCCCTGGGGAATCAGAGGAGACTGACTGGCTCATCACCACACATGGTTTGACTCTTCTTGGAGTTGTTTGACTGTCCATCTGGGCTGATTAACGACCTAGCGGTCGTTAATCAGCCCAGATGGACAACCAAACAACTCCTCGAAACAAGACAAAAAGTGACACTAAACAAAGATTTATAAAGCAAAATCAAGTTCTAGTGGATGGAGTTGATCAACTTCGGGGCCCTAGAAGTGCTCTAAGTTAGATAGAGCACGGTTTGAGGCTGAATACTCGGATTTAGAACTGCCCGCCCAACCTCGGGGATCTCATGTCACCCTCGGCCTCCGGCCTCGGGAGACATGAAATCCCCTTGGTGGGCGGGGCAGTTCTAAATCCTCATAGTCAGCCTCAAACCGTGCTCTATCTATTACCTCTAGTCTGCAGGAAATATATCTTATCTTTAATCGGTCATTCAGCAGGGAACTGGGTCATCTGTGGTTTGTTAATATGTTGTGCTTGAGAGGTCATTGACCTCAAACCATGGTAACAAGACACTAAACGCCTGCACATGACAGCTTGGGCAACCCCTTCCAATACGAAGTGCCACAACAAAATTCTTAAAGGATAGACATCTATAGACATCTATCATTCTGCTGATAAAAACAAAGTTTGACTCATAATATCTCTATTAAAATACACCAAAAGATTACAAAATAACAAGCTATTTCATGGAGGGACGATGTCTACGACTTCTCCTTGTTAAAGCTGAAGTTTCTCTTGACACTAGCAACACTCAAGGAGGGAACAATCTTAAACCCAGCCTATGTATTTTGTGCTGTTGAACAAAAGAGTACATAATCAAAGACATACAACTTTAAGGTGTTTCCAAAACTCTGGCTCTGAGCAGATGAAGTCTCTCTCAATGTTTCACAAATTCAAACATGAAAAACTGTGCTCCAAGAGAGGGAATAAACCCCAAACCATCCTCTTTCCTGTCTTAAACAGAATAGTGCTAGGGAGTATCAAGCTGATATCTGTGTCTTGAGAAAGTATCTTTAATGACTTAGGCCACAGCAAGTAATTTTTATGGATGACATCAGCGCATGCATTTATTTTCGCCTAATTTTGGAAGAAAGAAAATAATTTTTTTTTGCCTTCTGACAGTGGCCACCGTGCTGAAAATGGTCAAACATGTCTGTTGCCATGCCGGAAGGTGGATGGCAGATAACTATGAAGAGAGGAGGCAAGAAAAGGCTTTTTAATGTTTTGTTTCTTACTTTGGTGCAGTGATATGTGATGCTGGCTGTGTGTATGTGATGTTCCCACTGAATCAAAACCATTTCTACAATGATTGAGTCAAAATTTGAAAATGTAGGAACCTTGTTTTTTCGACCAGCCTTGTTTTTTGTTTTTTTTTCACCCACTCGCATTAGTCTTCAGAGTCAGCAGAGGATGTCATCCATAAAATTTAATTGCTGTGGCCTAAGAGAATTCTTAGCATCTTCTGGCTACTACTCCTCAACAGGTTGGCAGTCATCCTCGTACTGTTTCTTGAGACTCTTCAGGTATTCTCGCAGACTGTCTTCATCCAGACGGGAGTTCCGAGCTGCCTGCATCAGCCGCGTGGCAAGTCTGAACACTGCCCTCTGTTGTCTGGACTCGGTACTGCAAGTCTGGTTCATCTAATACATGATTGTGTAACATACACGGATGGAAGAAATATAGAATGCCTCTATCTGTTTTCTTATTAAAACTGTTGATTTAGTTGGTCTTTTTGTTGATATACATGTTTTTTTTCAAGAACTTTGAAAAATCTCAATTTTGAAACATTCACTTCAGGATCCTTCCCAGCCCAATGCTGTACATGTACATTACACATTAATATAATTGTAAAGCATTGGTGCCTGTGAATATTTGACTGAAAACTGCAAACATGTTTACAGGCACAAAATTTGAGCGGTCTTGCAAGGGTTAATACAATGGAATAAATGTCTTTATTGTATGGATTCTTTTAAACGGAGAATTAGTAAAACTGAAACTACAGGGAAGGAAAACCCTGCTCAGATATCCAGGGAAGACACCCTGGCACAGAAGTCCAAAGATGTAAACCATAACATAGATTAGATTCTATTGACACAACAAAAAGTACAGTATGGTCTTCTACAACCGCCTGCTCAAGAAACCAATGCACTAACCGCTACACCAAAAGGTCCAGACCCGTATTGGGTAAGTTGGTGGTGCTCGAACCCCACTGTTACAGGAACATCTCCTGTGTGATTGCATTAATTGCCCCTGAATGTGAACTTAGTGATACCTTTTTCTGCTGTGTGATTTGAGCAGCGATCCTCTTGGCTTCCTGTACCACAGGGCTGGGCAGGGTGGACACCTCCGCTAACTGCAGGCCTGGTGGAGAAATTAAACAGTGTCTCATTTGTTTCTTAAAGTCAATATTCTGTTTAGCATTCATGCCAAGAAAACTAAACATAGAGAACATTATTGTCATAGTGGTGCATGTGTCCTGAAAATTCAGCTGCCTTGTTGGGGTTTAGTCTGTCCAAGGACAGTATAATATCCTTGGTCTTTCTTAGATCTTTGTTGGCTGTTATGTCGCAGCCTGCACGACACTACCATGACAACAAAATATACACGACGTTCAC